CCGCCCGTCCTTGGCAGCCGCCCGTCCGTGGAGGGGGCGCCCGGCGGGGCTCAGCCCGGGCCTCGGGACCACCGGGAGCGGCAGCCACCGCTCGGCCGAGCTCTGCCGCGGGGGCCGGAAGGGGGCTGTGCCCCAGGCCCCGGGGGCTTTAGCTGGCTCTGGCTGCAGCCTGAAACCAGCCTGAGCCCGAAGTGCCTCCTTGCCCGCTCCTGTCAGCTGAGCCGGGCCGGGCCTCACCCGGTGCTTGTTCATTCGGCCGGAGAACTGCCCGTGTGGTGGTCGCAGCCAGGAGTCTGGGGGCCCAGACTGCGGAATAAACAGAGCACCTGCGGCTTGGCTCAAGGCCAAAGTCCTAAGTGCAGTGCAGGAAACAAGCTGGACCTGCCACCTGTCAGCCCCAGGGCAGGGCACATCCCCACCACTCATCGGGCTGCGTTTTTTCCCCTGCCTTGTTCCTATGAAGCCACGGCTTATCACTCTCTACTTGTTTGATAGAATGGGAGGGAGCGAGGCTTAGCCTGGCTGGGTCAGACGGGAGCCCCTCTAGAGAGCAGGGCTACAGCACCCTTTAGCAGAAAGGCTGGTGGAGTCCCCCACCCCCACCCCCTTCTCCGGCCTCTGGTGTCTGGTGCTGTGTGTCCTCAAGCAGGGGGCTTGTGGTTTTTCCAGAGCTCCACCTTGTTCAGCCTGCAAGGTTATAACTGGGATGCTCATGCCCCAGAGACAGAGCTAGCCCCTGCTTGAATGTCTGCAAAGTTATTAGAGCAAATCATAACACAGCCAGTTTGCAAATACCTGGCGGAGGAAGGGAGGTCACTAGCAGCCTTAAATATGGATTCATTAGGGACAAATTGTACCAAGACAAATTGATTCCTGTCTTTGACAGGGTAACTGGATTGGTGGATGAAGAGAACATGATAGACGCAATATGCCCAAATCTTAGTAAGGTTTTTCGTATGTTCCCCCATGACATTCTTGTAAATAAGCTAGAGCAATGTGGGACAGGTAGGATTACTGTTAAAGAGATATATAATTGGGTGAATAACCACAATCAGAGAGAAACTAAATATACCTATGTCAGAATGGCAGGAGCCTTCACAGGGCTCAGTTCTGGGTCAGGTGCCATTTAACATTTTTTGTTAAAAGATTGGATTGGGAATAGCAAGCTTCCTGACTGAGTTGGCAGATGACACAACTGTGAGGGCTTGCAAACAGTTAGGAGGATGGGGGTTGAATTTAAAAGGAACATGATGAATTGGAGAATTATAGACAAAAACTGAAATTTAACAAAGAGGAGGGTAGAGTGCTACACCTAGGGAAGAGAAACCAAATGCACAGATACAGAGTGGGGTGGTAACTGAAAAGGCACTACTGAAAAGGATCTGGGGTTAACATGAGTCAGCAGTGTGATGTTATCACACAAAAAATTGCAGCCTTGGGCTGCATTAACAGAAATATTGTATGCAAGCTATGGGAGCTGATAGTGCCACTCAGCTGGATGCTGGCTGGGCCTCTGCTGGAGTACTGTGTGCATTTATGGGCTACGTATTTAAGAAAGATGTAGAGAAATTGGAGAAGATCCAGAGGTGAGTGACAACAGTAAAGGCATTGGAGGGCAAGTTGTATGAGGGAAGAGCTCACAAATATATGTATGTCTGGTTTGGGGAAAGGAACTTCATGGGGATGTGATAGCAGTTTTCAGACATTTGAAAAGCTGCCATAAGAAAGAGGGAAATAACTGTTTTCCCGTGTTGCAGAGGGTAGGACATGAAACAATGGGTTTAAACTGCAGTAAAACTGATTTTGGTTAAACCTCAGGAAACATTTCCCCACTGGCAGAACCATAGGACAGTGGAACAAGTTAGCCAGGGAAGTTGTAGAATCTCTTCCTTGGATACTTTCCGGAAGCAGCTGGCTGGGCAGCACCTGTCTGGGATGGTTTAGCAACAGCTCATCCTAGGTCTGTTCAGGGATTGGACTCAGTAGAAGACCCTGAGGTCCCTTCCAGCCCTGTGATTCTACGATAATATTGCAGAGCTTTTGGCCTCAGTGACCTCTTGTGGTCCAGAGTTCCCTGAGCTTTGTATATTGTGCAGGGGTGTGATTCTTCTTGTTTGTCTGATGAATCTATTCCCTTTTGCTTTCTCCATATGTCCCCTGTTTTTGTTACAAGATGAAGAAGACAGGGACTCCCAACTCAACTCTCTTTAGACCAGTCACTTTTTCACCAGGTCCCCATATACTTGTCTCTTCTCTGAGGTAACATATCCATTCTTCACTTCCTCTGAGAATCTGTCCAGGCCCCAGTTCTTCTTATCCTCCTTCCCTGACCCTTCCCTTCAGTTGCATTCTTCAATATCCTGAAGGAGGTTGTGTGACCAGGGCAGACCACAGGATCCAGACCAGGCTGTCATTGATTCTGGAAAGACACAAAATCATCTCCATGTTGTTTTCCATCCCATCCCTTATGGGATCCAATTTCTGGGCAGGTCTTTGACCCCAGTTACGCCCTGAGCAGAGGACTCCAGCATGTTGCCCACACTACCCAGAGTTTTGCTTGGAGCAGAGGCACTTTCTGGGATTTCAGATCCATGGCATAAGGAACTTGGAGCTTCCCCTCCAGCCTGTGCTCCCTGGCATCTGCTAGTCTGAAATTCCCTCTGCCCTAGTGCTACCCCTTCACCTTGCTTGGTCTTATCTCTTCTCTGAAATAAAAGATGCCCAGGCCTCTTTCTGCCCTTCCCCAACTGTGCTCCCCTTGCAACATGCAGAGTTTGCCAGTGGGTCTTTGCTAAGTGTGTAGGGGGTGGACTGGTCTCTTTGACTCAGTCTCTGCTGCTTTCCCCCTCAGATGGAGCGCATGATTGTCAGCATGCAGGATCCGGACATGGGTGTCAAGATGAGAAACCAGCGCTTGCTAATTACAGTGATCCCTCATGCAATGACTGGTAAGTTCAACTGTGCTCCTCACCCCACCTCCCTCTGCTCATGTTCTCTCCCTCCCTCTGCATCAGACATGTATGTCATCGCTCCCAGTGAGAGATGCTCTTCGGTGGCCAAATCCGAATCAAATCAGGAGACCCTTTAATCTCTCCGAATCGAATTGGAACCCTCCAAATCAATTTGGAGAGTTTCAGAAAGATTCGTGATTCGGACATAGACACGGCTTTAAATGTTTTTCCTACATACCTCTAGATGGCAGGCAGCTTGTGAACATTGCAGTGCTGGGGCGTGTGGAGTGTCCCACAGAAGTGTGGGGTGGTCCCCAACGTGCTCAACAGCAGACCCGGAAGTGGCCCAGAAGCACTTCCAGTCCACTTCTGGGTCCACCAGGGAGCTTGTTGGGGGCCCCCCCACACACCCTGGCTTGGCGACCTGTGCCTCCTGGGTCTGAGGGGTCACCTGGGGTCCCCCTGCAGCCGATCGCTGAGCCCAGGGGGGAGCGCCCCAGCGGACCCGGAAGTGGACCAGAAGTACTTCCGGTCCGCTTCTGGGTTCACCACAGAGCATGTGGAGGGCCTCCTGGGTGCTTCATGCACCCCAGCATTGCAGCGTTCACAAGCTGTGCTGGTACCTCAAGGCATGTAGAAAAAAACATTTAAAGCTGTGTCTATGTCCGAATCATTGATACTCTGAATCAGCCTCGAATCTTCAGATTTGGATTCGGCCAAATCAAATCGGGGACAGTGCTCTGAATCAACGAATCGAATCACTGTCCCTGATTTGGGCCAAATCTGAATTGAATAGGGCCTGCTTCACACACCCCTGATGCCTACCCCTAACCTGAGTGCACTGAGGAGCTAACAGTGCTGTTAGCTGTGTCTGTGCCCTGGGATCTGGGACCGGGCAGCAGTCCTGCTCCCTCCCCCACCATCTTAATGATATGTGAGCATGCTAGTGTAATGGGCATGCTTTGTGCTACCCCTTCCCAGGCCATCTTCCTCTGAACAAATGCTCTTTGTGCCCAGGGGAGATGGCTGATGCACATATACCCAGTTGGGTGTCTCTGAATTGACAGCATGTTATTGTGGGGAGCAGGGTCTGCACACCATGTGGTGTGGTGCATCTGTGCATATGTTGTGTATATGGCATAGGTGGTTGTGCAGGGAGCTCTTCAATGTGTGTGTGAACAACACTCTGGATGGTGTGAGTGTACCATGTACAAGGACTCCGCCCCAGACCTTGCTCTTTACCCAGTGATCATGTTGCTGCTGGGGCCACTGCCTTGCCTGGGCCTTTGGCTTCATGAAACCTCTACCCTGATATTGGCAGCAGAAAGAACCACTTCTGTAGACAGTAACCTCCACATCAAGAGGGACCAGACTGTAGGCTGGAGCTGCTGCCCCACCACACAAGTCTGCTGGCTTTGTGCTAGCTTGCAGGAACTAGTATTTTCCACAGCTGCACTCCCAGTCTTGCTGCAGCTCCAGTGCCTGCCTTTGCTGGCACCCAGCCTAGCACTGGGCTAGAATGTGGAGGGGATGTGCAGTGCTCCAGGGAGGAATGGCTGCTCTTGCAAATCAAGACAAGTTTTGGATGTTCTTTTCTGCAGAGCCAGACTGGATCCCCTCTTAAGGCATCATGCTAGGCACTGGGCCCACAGATTTCCCCCTTTTCGCAAACTGCATGCACTGCTTTCTCTGTGGCTTTGCCCCTCTTCCATGCCTTAACCTGCAGAGTTGACACCTGGAGTCAGGGTGCTGAATTCTCCACTCTACAGGGGCAGGTCTGTGCTGGGGCATTAGCAAGGGCTGTCTTCTCTGCCGCCTTTTCCCAAACCAAGCTCTCAGCCTCAGTGCCTGGCTGCAGGCAGTCATGTGCCAGCAGTAATGCATCAGGATATCAATTATTCATTGGGCCAGGCTGAGAGTTGACACTGCAGGGAAGACTTAGGCCCAGATGCTGTCTGCTGCTGGCTTGGCAGGCACTGACTGTGCCCCTGGACAGCCTCAGATGGTGATCAGAGGCTCATGGGGATGGAAGACCTGTCGTGCCCAGGTTACCCCTTAGCTCTGCCTCTGCACTGCGCCTTTGCCCGTTATCACCCCCTGGTTCTGCCCTCTTGTTTCATCTTTTCCCTAGCATCCTCCTGCCATCCCCATTCTCTTTGTGTGTGCCTTTGCCCTTACCCATGCCTTGCAGTCTCCTCTTCTTATATTTGTGGGCTCTCCTAGAACTTCCCATGCACCTTCTCCTGGGAGCCAACCCATGCCAGTTCAGCACTGGCCCTGTGCCCGTAGTGGACACTGGAGGGGCTTTTGAGACATGGGTTGTGGCTCACTGAGTCTCCAGTGTCCTTGGTTATGTGTGCTTCTGTTCCCCCAGGGAATGACATTGTGGAGTGGCTCATCCAGAAGTACACCATCTCTGAGGAGGGTAAGCACTACCTCATCTCAGCCCTGGGCTCTGTTTTGCACGCCAGGCCAGCAATTTGGGAACCTTGTCCCCATGGAGGAGGATCTGGGTGAGGCCTGCTTTCTGTGGCTGGAAGCCTAAGATGTTTGTTCTGCCCTCTCCCTCAAGAACAGGCTTCCCATCCCCTGCACACACCCTTGTCACACGGCTACTTCAGGATAGTGCTTGCCACCCTGTTCTTCTTGGCCCCTCTTGGGAAGTACCAAGCACATAAGTGACTTGGCACCAAGGCATGGGTCTGACTCAGTCCATCTCTGAAGGGCCAGTTGGGCCTGGTCTCTTCCAGAGTGACCCAAGGTTGTTTGTGCAAGATGCATGTCCCAAGGGGATGCAGCAACCATGTCTGTGCCCTAGGACAAAGGGGGGCCAGTTCCTGGCTCAGCAGCAGTGCAGAAGGCCTTGCCTAGCTGGGAAGCTGCAGAGCTGTGTGGCTCCCAACATCAGCTCAACTGACTTGTCTTGCTGGACATCCTCTAGCAGCTGGTCTCAGAGCAACATGGCCGTGAGTAAAAAGATCCATGCCTGGTAGCAGGGGGGACCCTGAAGCTGCAGCCACCTCTGAGGAGACTTTAGGAGCTGCCCCTGCAGTATTGCAGCAGCAAGGACTCATCTAGGAGCTGAACCTGACCCCCTGGTTCCACCCAGTCTGTCTCTGATTAGGCTGCAGATGTGGAACAGCCCTGCCAGGCTGCCTAGGACCCTGGGCTGGTTGCTGCCAAGTCTCCCCCTTGGCAGTGGCTGGCAACATTTGTGCGCTGTACCCTACAAGGCAGATGAGTTTGGCAATGCAGCACAATTTGGGGGTGTGCCCGTCTAGGGGAAGAACCCCAGAGCTGCTCCCATGGCCCAGTGAGGGGCAGGGCTTATGCAAGAGGGAGTGGAGCTGACCTGCATGTTTGAAATGTCTCCAGTTTTGTGGTGTCACCTCTAGGTGGCTTCTGCCTTAGCCTCAGCCCCAGGTTGCAGAGCATGCAGCCAGCAGTGCAGCTCTAGGTTATGGGAAGGCCCTGTGACCATTTGTTGTGTGGCATCTCCTGGAGCCAGAGCCAGGCTCTGTGAGAGCTTCTACCCTGTGAAAGTTTCTGCTGACTTGTGCTGTGCTGAACTGATGGCAAGCAGCTTGCAGGTTAGTTCAGGGCAGCCCTTTCCAGGAGGCAGGTGGGGAGTCATGTGCTTGGAGTGGATAGGGAGCACAGGGGCTGTCACATCAACTCTGCATCCTAGTGATGCTGACAGGAGTGTGCAGGAAACTGTGTTCTTAGCACGGCTGTGCCAGCCAGCCTCTGTCTCACTTGGCAGTGACTGTCCTTGGCCAGCTTCTCTACCCTCATCCATCCTAGAGCCCCTGTCACTGTTGCAGACCACCCTGCACCTGCCCATTTGGGATACCAGCCTCCAGTCCTGCCCCTCTGCTGGGAGCAGCACTGGGAACCAGAGTTGGTTTTGGGCTGGTCCAGCTCTCATAGGTTCAAATGTACCCAGCAGCAGCAAAGCCAGTGGTCTCTCTTCCTGTCAGTCTTCAGCTTCTCATGGTCCCTACCACAGTTCCAAGAAGAAAAGGATAGGGTTTCACCCCTCATATCCCTGGTGAGGCAGAGTGCCCTGCAGGAGAAGTAATGCACAAAGACCAGGGTATGAAACCATAAGCAGGAGCCCACACCTTGTCCCATGTGCTAGGCTGCCCTTGCTGCCTCAAGAGGCCTGCCCAGGCATGGGAGGACTCCTGGGATGGCTATTCAGGGTGCCTTTCTGTGCTTCCAGCCTACACCCTGCTGGGCTAGCATACATGGAGCAAATCTGGGGCCAAGTGCTGGGTGCTGACCATGTCCAACTTGGTGCTGGGCAGTTCCAGCATGGAGCAGTTGGGCAACATGTGAGACCTGCTTGCCCAATAGCCCTCTGGCATGAGGCTTCTTGCCATCGCTGTAGGTGGCCAGGCATTGCATGCCCTCCTGTTGGCAAGCAGTGGCTGCAGAGAGCTTTCTTCGCCAGGACCCTCCCTTTACCAGTACCTGCCCCATTTGCTGCTGGCATGGACCTTGGTGTACTGTAAGGACTTGGGGTCCTGGGGAAGGCTGCTCTTCCCTCTGAGCTGTCCTGAACTTCACAGGTGGGACTGGGACTGTGCTGGGCTGGGGGATGATTTCAGGCTGAGTGAAGCCTTTATTTTGCTGTGCCCTGGCTTGAAGCCATGGGTTGTATGCAACAGGCTGTCCCAATGGGTGATGGCAACCCCAATACAGGCATGTGGCCCCTTCTGCTTTGGGGGGACATTTTTGGCCCAGCTGGCCTGTGCTGAGGAAACTGCTCTTCTCTTGCAACTGTCATACTCTACCCCCAGAGCTGCAAGAGGCCAGGCTGTCTTCTGTCACCCAGCAAGGATCCCTGCCTTGCCAGAGCCATCAACACAGCATCCTGCACAGATCCCAGGCCCATTCCTGCTAGGTTCCTGCAGCAGGGCACTCTGTCAGCTGGCCAAGCTGGGAGGAGGGTTGGAACAGCTTCCTGGGGCACGGACTTTGTTGGCACGCACAGAATAGTGCCAGGCATTTCAGTTCATCGTGATAATGAACAGTTGCAATGATCTGAGCCTGTGAGTGGGTGTGGTCTGCTGTTTCATGGGGTAGGGTTGGTGGAACTGGTGCTGTGTTGGGCATGGTGAAGGTTGAGGGGTCCACAGCAGGTGGTGGGTGGGGGGCTGCTGCTGCACTATATTCCAAGCAGTCTGGCCATGTCTCTCCTGCAGAGTCCTTGCACCTTGGGAACCTGATTGTGAAGCATGGCTATATCTACCCTCTCAAGGACCCCCGCAACCTGGTGCTGCGAGCTGACGAGTCCCCCTACAGGTTCCAGGTAGGCCTGGTGAGGGGATCAGGGCTCCATTCCCCACCCCTCCTCACGCCCATGAGTCAACTCCCCCATAGGTCCTGGGGGCTTGCTCCATGATGCCTCTCCTGAGCCTGAGTGCTATTCTGGGCATGCCCAAACCTGTGCCCCTAAGACAGGGAGGGCAGCAAGGTGTGGGAACCCACATGGCTGATTTTCATCAGGACAAGGCTGGGGCTGCTGGATCAGGCCTGCTGTTGTTGAGGACGAGTGCTGTGATGCGTCCCAGGCCCCTTATACTGACTGCTAAGAAGTTTGTAGCTGCTTCACCCTGGCTTGGAGAGAGCAGTGAGTGAGACGTACTGCCAGTGCTCCAGTGCTGGGTGCTCCCCCAGGGCCCCACCCTGCTGAGCAGACCCAGAGCTGTGGGACTGGTGCCCAGCAGGTGCTGCAGAGGCCTGATGGACTCATGCACAAGCCCACAGTTCTGATATGTTTGAGTATCAGACGGACCTTGTGATACCATCTTCATGTCTGGTGTAGGCTGGGCTGGAGGCAGCGAAACAGGGATCTGCTTCAGGGCTTCCAGGCTGGGGTTGTCCAGCAGCTTCACTGTACCTGGCTGGGATCCCCCTCCTAACTGCCCACTTCCAGTGGGGTCCTGCTGCATGAACTGCATTAGCAGGGTAGGACCAGTGCCCTCCTCACCCCCAGTTTCCATTCAGTGATGGCAGTGCCCCCTCTGTCTCTTTCTCCTTGCAGACCCCGTACTTCTGGACCAGCACTAAGTGGCCAGCCACAGAGCTGGATTATGGTAGGTGTCATTCTGCAGCACTGGGACCATGGCCTGTCAGTCCTATCTGGAGACCCCAGCACCATTGGCTCTCATCTCCTCTGCCTTGGCCCTGTCCCCCAACAGATTTACAGGAAAAGCCCTGAGGTGCCAGCTGCCAGTAGCTCCAACCTCATGTGGAGGCCTGAGCACTGCAGGATTCAGAGTGGTGGCTCTGAGCTCAGCTGTTTCCCCACCTGCCTGCTTTCATCACCATACTAGAAGAGCCCTTGGGCTGATCTATGCCTGTCTGCTGTTCTTCTGATTCTAAGGGCTGTTGTGTTTGGTCCCAGCTGCAAGGATCTGGGCAGAGCCCAGGGCTGGTAGCATATCTTCTGGCTCAGCCAGCTTTGGATCTCCCTGCCACTCTTTACTGTCTGTGAATGGGTGTGGGTTCAAGCCCCATGGGAAGGCTGCCCCCTAACATGGGCACAGGAACATGCTGCTCCTGGCACTGCAATTATTTTTGGAGAAACTGAGACTAAAGTGCAGTTAGGGCAGAGCCCAGCACCTAGCACCACCTGGCTCCATGGACAGGAACCCCCCTCTTCCCCTGCCCCCAAATGTCATCCAGAGCTGCCCATGCTGATGGCTCCTTTGCCTTACTGCAGCAATCTATCTAGCCAAGAAGAACATCCGCAAGCAGGGTGACCTGATCGACCATGAGAAGGTAAGATACAGGTGCTAACCACACTGCAGAGTCCCCTTGGCTCCTGGGGAGGTGGTTAGGATAGTAAAGGACCTACAAAGCAGAGGTTTGGGGGAGATAGGGGTTAGTATGAGAATACAAGAGGGCTGCAGATCAGGACTGAGGGGCATCAGCAGTGGAGAAAGGTGCAAGGGCTGTGATTGCAGTAGTGGCTTCTTCAGCATTCCCAACAATACAACCTGCTGACTCACCCTGGAATTGTCTCCACCCATTATAGCCTGATGCCATCAGAAGGGCTGGAAGAGGGAACCACTGGGCAGCCTTGGCACTGCATGGGGCAGGGAAATGCTTGGGTGGAGTAAATGAGGTTTTTCCCTCACTGAGGTCCCCAGACTGCAGGCAGAAGCCATGACTGAGAGGTACTGACACTAGGGTGTGGGGTTGCCCTGCTTGGAATGTATCTGGGTAGCCAGGGGGGAGAGAGGATGGGGCTGGGTAGGGACTGACTTCCGTGTGCACTCGCCCTAGGACAACTATAGCCTGCTGCACAAGAGGATCAACCACACCTGGGACTTTGTGGTGATGCAAGCCCGGGAGCAGCTCCGGTGAGTCCCTGCCCCAGTACCCAGCCAGGCCTCATGGGATGTAGAGATCAGGGCCCCTCCTGTCTCCACACTTATAGCAGGAATATGCCTAGGGCTCTGGGGATTCTGCCCCATGTCGCCAAGGTGCATGCCAGGAGATACCCGAGGCTGCAGAATTGTGCTCTGCGAAGAGCAGCAACTTGGGGATCCTGGCAGAGAGTGCTATGCAGGGCCAAGCTTCAGCACATGAGAGCTCAGCGTGTACTACTTCCCAAGTGCCCAGAGTCATGGATCAGACTCTGGCTAGCCAGGGTCCTTGGATGAGGGGGTCAATGAGCCTTGAAAGCAAAAGCTCAGCATGGAGCAGTGCCAATGGCGAAATCTGCTGCAGCCCATAATGAGACAGGCCAGGTTGCTGGTCAGAGGGCAGGACCTAACCCCACTTCTCCCCCAGCAGCACTCTCACCACTTTCTGACTGCCCTGTGCCACGCTGGCAGACACTCCTCCTTCATTCTCCCACTCCAGGAGGTGGTAATACCTGTGTGTCAGGGCACTTGATGTACTTGCCACTTCAAGGGGTAAGGCAGCCTGCTGAGCCACCAGCAGGTGGGGGTCAGTGCTAATTGTGGAGTCAGCTGACCCAGGGGGCTGGCAGGTAAGGCTAGGCCTGATTAAGGGAGTCACCTGATTGGAAGAGGGCTGGGTTTAGACTGGGTATAAGCCGAGACCCTGAGAGTAGGGCTGGCAGTAACATCTTGGGAGGTGATGAAGGAACATCACAGCAGGAAGGCTGCTGCTCCTGAATGCAAGCAAGGAGAATAACATCCAGAGATTTGGATAGGAACTAAGGGAATGGAGGAGATTCCTGGGGAAACCAATATGGGGGTCCAGAGCCCTGAGAAGGGAGCTGAGTGCACAGGGGCCTATTGAGAGGCCAAATGAGTCCAGCCTATTTGTTCACTTTTAAAAAACACATGGATCCAGCCTACCAAGTCACTCATTGGTCTCCCTTAGGCAGGGAGGCCACAGGAAAAGGGGACAACAGAGTTTGTGGGACAAAGAATGAAACAACAAAGATGGAAGTGCAGATCAGAGGTTCAAATCAAGCGTACCAAGTGGGGACACAGAGCAGAGTACACCAGACAGTACCCAGTGGCCCTCAGACAAGCTCAAGGAACCAGGAGACACTGCCCAGTGATACTCTGTTTAGAGATGGGAGCAAATCAAGGTGAGGATAGTGACCCTGCAGTCACGAGGGCCAGATAAACCCAGAGATAGAAGGTCTGGGTGCACAGGGACCTATTGAGAGGCCAGGTGAGCCCTGGGAGAGGGGCTGAGTGTTTGGGAGACCTAATGAAGGGTCTGGGTGAACCCACTGAGTGGGACAAAGCGTGGGGGCCTATTAAGGGGTCCCAATGTGCCCAGAGAAGGAAGAGGCTGTGTTAGGGAAGACCTGTGCGGGGCTCCAGGTGAGCCCAGAGAGAGGGAGTGATCTATGGAGGGGCCTACAGAGACAAGGGGGCTGACAGCTGGAGGACTGACCCCGGGAATCTCAACTGACCTGTGTGGGGCCAGGGCCCAGGAGGGGCTGAAGGGTGAAATAGGCCATAGTGGAGACTGCCAGAGGCAGGAGAGCCTGGAGTTCTCGACTGGCCTGAAGCAGGGCCAAGGCCTAGGAGAGGCCAAAGGTCCTTGTGTGACCACAGCCGAGAGGAAGGGGTCAAGGGGCGTGCAGCCCAGGATGAGGATGGCTGGCTCTCGGCCATCTAATAAAAGAGGGATAAATGAAAGAGGTCTGAGAGAGACCTGGGGGCCAGAGATGGAGAACTCGGGAGATGGAGTCAGGGACAGGGGGCCGTGTGGCTAGCAGCCCAGGAAGGGCATAGGACATCTAGGGGAAAGCCCAGAGAAGGACATGTAAGATCAGGTAGCCCTGAAGATTGGACCTGGGTAAGACCTGAAACTGCACCCTACTTGGGCTGGTTAGTGTGGTGGGGCTGTCTGTTGTGGGGCATCCTCCATGAAATACCACACATGGGCCACTGCAGGGAAAGGTGAGGATGGAGGCTGGAAAGCCTCAGCTCCCACTGCCTTGTGGGTTACCCCATGGAAGGGGAGGGCTAGGGGTGCATACCTGGATAGAAAAGCATTTGGTCAGGGAAGACCGGGACGACATGGGTCCAGAGGCCCAGCAAGGGGCCAGGGAACAGAGTGCAGGACCAGATGGATCTGAGGGCCTAGAGAGTGGCTAGGGAAGTAGAGAATTAAAAGGGTGCAGGACAAAGGACCAAAAGGGGCTGGCAGTCTGGAGTGGGGCTGGGAGGGAGACAGAGGGGCCTGGTAGCCAAAGGAATGGTTGTGTGAGATCAAGAGGTCTGAGGACCCAGAGAGGGCCTGGAGGAGAGACCAAGGGGTCTGGCATCCAAAGTGGAGCCAAGAGGGAGATGAAGGAGTCTGGCAGCCCAGGAAGGGGCTGTGCGGAGAGACAGAGGTCTGAGGGCCCAGAGTGGGGCTGAGAGAGGCTGAGGGGTTGGAAGGCTCAGAGAGGCTTCAGCAATTGGTAGAACATCTGTAAGGATGCCATCTGTGAGTCATTGGGCATGGTGTAGACGAGGTACAGAGCCATTCAATTGGCCCAAAAGGCCAGGACCACAATCCGGGTGGTCACTGTAATAAGACCAGGGCAGCCTCCCGCACAATGTGTATCAACTAACATCAAGGCGTGGCAAGCGACAGCTAGGCCGACTGCCCATAAAGCAGGGGATCTCAAAAAAAAAATGTGGGCACCCCATTCCCAAATCCGTGCTGTAGCACATGTCAGGCCCCAGAGGTGGCTGTGACACCCCCTGGTAGCCGCACTGTAACTGTCCCACTTTGACTTTACAGGTACCCTCCCCTTTCTGTTGCTTGCTATGCCTTGATGTAATCGGTTAATTTGTAAAAAGGGAGGCTGCCCGATATTCCCTGAAGTCTTTGTCTATCTGTCAGCTGGCAGGTCCCTCCTGGACCCTGGTGGTCTCAGTTTTTCCCGTTAAGAGCTAGCTGAGCCTTTCTGGCTCATCCATGCCCCCTGGGCCCTAACTGCCTTAAGTTTGTGGCTTCCAAACGCCCCTGTAGCTACGCCCATCCCATCCCTCAGATGTTGCCACTCAATCACTGTCCCTTCATTGGGGCCTTGGCCTCTGCCCCTTTCCTCTTGCTTGGCCTGTTAGCCTAGGTCCATTGTACTGCATGTGGCTCCTGGGCTCCAGCCTCTGCCCTGCTCCCCAGCAATGAGCCCACTGTGATGTTGTCTTTGCCTTGCTCCCAGGCCTTTTGGGACCTCCATCACCTCTTAGTCCTGCCGAAACCACCAGACTATCAAATTCTAACATAGAACTAAACCTTAAGGTTATAACTCAAACTCCCAACTCATAACACAAACACCAACTTGGATGTCTCTCAGCACTGCCTACCCAACCCTGGGTCCCATTCCCTTGCAAGTCAGCAGTCGTGTACTTGCAATAGTCTTAGGATATCCCAGGTATAAGCCACAAACTCATTCCTCTTCAGCCTCCAGGGCCAGACTTCCTGCTAGGCTCAGACCCTGGGCTTAAATACTCCCTAAACCTGTACCCTTCTAGTCAGGTGACTCAGCAGCCACACACCCAGGGGTATTCAGTCTGAGCCTAATGACCTGCCTGCCTTCCCTTGCTGCTGCTTATAGCTAGCCTCAGACTGTCTACAGGTGTACTCTTTGCCTTGATGGGCAGCTTACTACCTGAGCAGCAGCATTCCCTACAACCACCCTTCTTACAACTGGCCCCTGTTTAGCTGCCTGGGTTCAAGCTACTCTAGTCTCTCTCTTACACTAACAGGAACTCGGAGCTCCTTGTTACAATGTCCACTGAGTGCTTCCAATGAGGGGCCAGTTCAAGCAATCAGCTGAGAGGTCCTCGTATCCTTCTGGCAGGGCAGGGAGCAAAGGCCAGCCCTGGAGGCTGCCTGACTGAGTAGAAAGGGACTCTGTTTGCTGCTGCTCATGTCCTGGTCAGCCTCTCCTCTACCTACCTTGAGCCTTCAATCTGCTGCTCCCCAGAGGTTGATGCTTTTTCTGATGGTGCCAGCATTTTGGGCTTGAGAGCTGGCAACTCTAACAAGGGCTGTGAAGAGGCAAAGAAGGGGACAGCAGTTTACACCAGCTCCCCTGGAGGGACCCCTTATTTTTCCTGAAGCTCCCCTGGAGGGACCCCTTATTCCTCCTGAACTCCCCCTTGCTTGGGGCCTTTGCTAAATTGGGGTGGGAAAACCAGCTGCTCTGGGCTTGGCCTGAGCCGGGCTTGGCCCCTCCTCTCAGGAGAGCTCCAGCCCTGGCTGTCCCAAGAGCAGTAGGGGAGTGGCTGCTCATAGCCCTTCTTGCCTAATGCTACCTTTCTATTGACAGGGCAGCCAAGCAGCGCCGGAAGGGTGATCGCATTGTCATAGACTGCCAGGAGCAGGCCTACTGGCTGGTCAATCGGCCCCTGGTAAGGCTTGCCTGAGGGAGGCTGTGAGGCCTCAGCCCTGTCAAATGTGACCATGCTGGGGAGGAAAAGGGGCACCCTATAGAAAGGCCTGCAAGGGTGGGAGAGCCTCACTCAGGTGCGTGCAGGTGGGGCAAAGTTCCATGCTGGAGCTCTCCTGAGTGACCACAGACTTGGGTCCAGTCTGCTCTGCTCACTGGTGCTGAGCTTCAGTGCATAGTGGCACCCCACCACTCCCTGGAGACAGACAGATGGATAATGCAGGCATAGCAGGGGCTCTGGCTGGAGCCGCAGGCTCATAGGGAAGGGACTCAAAGGCATGTTCAACTTCTTGCACCCTTGTTGAGCAGCAAGGAGCTGGCAGTTCCCCCTGCATCCCAGCCTCAGTACAAGCACCTTCCCTGGCTTCTAACCAGGGATCCCCTGGTGGCATGCAGCACCCACCCCTGGCAGGCTCTGCCTCAGGATGCAGTTTTCTTGGACTGACACTGCCTGCTGGCAACCACATCCTTTCTAGGCAGTCAGGCAGCTATTCACCCCTCCTTTCCCGTCCCCCCTGTGCCATGTGGGGAGATGTGGAGGGATGGGTGAGTTGGATGAGGAGACAAAGAGTAGGAAGGGGGCAGCTAGTCCCCTCTGCAGTTCTCTGGTGCCCAGAGAATGCCTCTAGCTTGGCACCATTCAGCTGTGGGGCAGAGGGGTTGCAATTCTGCCCCCTTCCCTCTGCCAGAGACCTGGGGCATAAGAGTGTGGCTACAGGTATACTCAGAGCAGGGGCTGGGGCAGTGTCTGCCATCCCCTACACTGTCCCTGCCCCCACCTACCCAGGCCAGTGTGACAGCTGGCTCCCAATTAAAGCTAATGGGCCTTTCTCTCCTAATCCCTTCCATCCCTGATCCAGCCAGCTCTACACAGGGTAGTGGGTACAGGGCCAGCGCAAAGGGCCATGGCTCACCCTGTGCTGTCTTGCAGGGTGTTCCCCCAGAGCATGGGTATGGATCCATCTGGCCTGGACCCAGGCAGGGTATGTCCAGCACTCCAGGAAGACAGTCTGGCTTCAGCAGCTTGTCTCAGTCTGGTGGCTTCCTCTCCGTCCTGCAGGAAGCAGCCCTGCCTGGCCATCCAGCCATGAGATCTGCACCATCCTGCTGCTGTGTACTGGGCTCCTGGTTCTTTTGTGGGGGAGAGCTGTGGCCACAGAGCCATGCTGTCCTGCAGGCTCCCAGGGTGGCAGTGTGTGTGGGTGGGCATACGCTGTGGGACAGCACCAGCCCAGTGCAGAGTGCGCCAGCTCAGGCCACAGCCAGAACCAGTGCCCCTACCCTGCCTGTCCCCACTATGTCCTCTGCCTCTGCAGGGAGGAGATAAGGGCCCTGGCTGTAGCAGCCCTTGTGGGGCCTGGCTAGACCCGAGGAACATGCACTGGGCAAGGGGCTGGCTGGAACCCATCCTCCATCCTGATCCAGGCTTGGTTCTTATTCTTTCCTGTGCAGCCAGGAGCCCCAAATGTGATGGAGCATGGGCTGAAGCGGAGGAACTGCCATGCCAGCCAAGTGCAGCTCGTAAGTGTCCTGCCTGGGGAGGCCATGGTTGGCACAGAAGTGCTAGGTCCCCACTCCTGCAGCACTCCTTGTGGCCTGTCTGTGCACAGAGTTTCCAACCCTTTCTAGTGAGGCCACTGCATAAGCCAAGAGATCTGCCCTCTCTGCAGGCACATCCTAGCTCATCCTGGTCCTACTTGATACAGACCAGGCCAGCCAGGGGCTTGATTCCATTGGGCTGTCCAGGTGCTTGTTGCACTGGGCCCCTGTAGGTATCTCAGACATGCAGGCTGAGACAGTGTGTGCCTGCTGAGCCCTCCCCCAGAGCCTAGCCCCACCAGTCTCTGCACTCAAGTGTCCTTGCTCTGTGACACATGGTGCAGTGCTGGGTGGGCTGCCCCATGCCCAGCAGGACGTGCTCTTGGTCCCAGGGTATGATGCTGTCTGCTAGCTCCGGTCTCATTGCTGCTGTCCCTGCGGTCAAGAGAGTCACCATTAACTCTGAGGATTAGTCCCCTGGTGTGTTAGCATCCATGTTTCCTATTGTTACCCCTGCCTGGTGTCTCGAATCTGTCTGGGTTCCTGTGTACCATTTCTGTCTGCTCATCCCCAGCTCTGAATAATGTGCCATTTGCCCCCAAGCATCTACATTTCCTTCTGGGAGCTCTGCAAGTTTGCTAGGCAGAGCAGTCTCTGGGAAGGAGCATTCCCCACAGTACTGTGTGCCCTGGGCCTGACCAGACTTGCCTTGCTGCAATGCCAGCCCTGATAGTGGCTAATGGTTGGGCAAGGGCAGAGGCCAGTTCAGCCTCTATAGCACCAGGTGGTAACGCTGGCCATGGCATTCTTCAGCTGCTAGTCTGTCCTGCTGTACCCCCTCCATTGCTAAAAGTCTACACGATCTGGGCATGCCTTCCCTGAGGGCACTGCAGAGATCTGCTGCAGCAAGAGGAGGGCATGTTGGTCCACATGGCTTTGGTGTATGCAATGGCCTCTTCTTCCCATACTTAGAGTGGACCACATGCAGCTATGGCCTCATGCTAGTGATGCCAGCCTGCACTGAGGTGCTAGCAGCCATTCCCTGGGTTGGTGGTTACCAGGCTATCAGCCAAGAGCTGTCTGGATTGGCTTGGTGGGCTTGTGCAGCCAGTGTGACGGCCCAACAGACAGGCAGAGTAGTGAACCCTGGGCTGAAGCAAGGGCAGCCTCCAGCTAGGAAAAGCCCCTTAGGCAGGGGCTGAATGCACATGGCTGGCCTCCTGGCCACTGGGGCCTGCTTTTTCTGCAGCCCCTAGGGAACTCCTCTCTCTCTGTGCTGGCATCACTAACACAGTCTGTTGGGTGCTCTTATCTCCCCTGTCTGTTGTGCTGGCTCCTTACTAACTGCTGGGTTCTGTTTTTCTTCTCTTCTCCTGTGTGCCGTTTTCTGCCCAAGTAAGTGTCACTAACCTTTGGTTTCCCATGATGGGCTTGGGGGGCAGCAGGGTGGGGCATAGACATGCAGACAGGCAGTTAGCAGGGAACCAGGAGTCCTGGGCCCCTGCTAGCTGGTGTATGAGATGGCTGGGCATGTCCTCAGGGCTTTGCCTGGTGAGTGGCTTTTTGTTGGTGATGGCTGGCTGTGGGGGTGAAGGAGTCTGCTAGCGGCTCTTTGTCATGCACAGAGAGGCAATGCTGAAACAGGACCTGGGGCTGCCCTTGATCCCCAGGGCTGGGCAGCTTCAGGTGCACCAACCCTTGGGGCAGCACCCTCCTGCCAGTACCCTACTTCACCCACAGCTTCCAGGCTGTCCTTTGCAGAGAGCCCTCATGCTGGTGCCAGGCCTGGTGGTGAAGTGCCTGCTTTCCTTTCTTCCTCCCATGTGTTCAGGAGTTCCACTGCTTTCTGCAGGAACAGGGGAGGAAGCTATGAGCTGTTGTGGGATCCTCCTGCTGCAGTCCTCTGGGTGGCCTGGCTGAGTAGCCTGAAACTAGAGGCTGAGAACTCAGGGTGTTTGGCCTAGGGGATCCATAAGCAGGTCACAAGGCAGCAGGACACTCCAGCACAGTGGAGTATGGAGAGGCTTCCCTCAGGACTGCGGCAGTTTCCAGCCACCCTGGTCCTGCTTATAGAGAATCTCCCGGAACAAGGCCTGTGCAGCCCAAATCCCCAGAGTACACCTTGGCTGCCCCAGCAAGCAGAGTGGAGTATGGGGCCAGCCAGCCAGCTGCCCTTCCAGCCCACAGCTCCTCTCCAGGCTGCCTGTAGTACCAGGCATGACTCCAGTACCCCAAATCAGAGTTTGGACCAAAGGACTGTGATTGGAGTAGGTGAGGGTGGAGGGTGGGTGTGCAGGGGAGTGGGTGTGTTTATTGTAATGGGAAGCGCAGGTTTTTAATGTGATTTTAAGATGTGTGATGGAAAGTTTATGTGGGTGTGTGTGTGTGTGTGTGTGTGTATATACGCACGTGTGTCTGTGTGTATATTTTTTAATTAAAAAAAAAAAAGTACCGTGGGGGAGAGGCAGCTGGGACCTGCATGTATTGAGCTGTGCACAGCTCATTGCAGGTTAGCATCTGGGACCAGGCACAACTGAGCCCTGAGATGCTGGGGCCAACAGCTGCCTAGTCTGGCTAGGTGCTGGGCCAGGACTGTTGGGGGCCAGACATGCTTATGCAGGGGCTGCTGTTGCCAGGTTCTCTCACCCCTATGCTTGTCTCTTCCAGACCAAGAACATGGATTATTACAAGCGAGAGGTGAGTCTGCAGGACAGGGTCTGGCCATGGAGGCAGGGACAGCTTCCCTGGGCCTCTGTTCAGGGCTGTGCTGGGGCCTCCTCCCTAGGACCACACCCAGTGCTGGGCAACTGGCACAGTGGGGAGCACTGGGCACAGTGCCCTGGAAGCATACCGCCCACCTGCAGAGGCATAGCAGCACCTCAGGGTGAGGGGTCTTGGTGGGAATGTGGGCTGGATAGGAAAGGCAGAGCAATGGAAAGGTCTTGGCCATGGGCACACACAGGGTTAGCTCCAGTTCTTACTGTTACCATGATTGGACAGTGGCATAACAGCTGACAGCACCCATCACAGCCCCTCCCCAACTAGTATCAGTGCCCTGGGCCCCAGCGGGTGGGTGCCACAATCTTCCTTCTTACCCTGTTGTCCTGTGCCGGTCCCAGATCGAGTACTGCCGAAAGGCCATGGGAAGAACCAGGGTCAAGTCTTCCATTTGCCTGGAAGGGTAAGTTGTCACCTGGGGGCCTTGGGGATCTGGGCAGTCACTTGCTGGCATTTCCAGCCCCTGTTTTACTGGACTGGCCCTGCCAGGTATCAGCGGTTTCTCCCTGCTTTTCAGCAGCAGCCCCTGGCCCTGGGGTGGGGTGAGGGGCTTTGCACTGGGGGTGGGGGCTATACTCTCTGAGCTGATGGAGCATGATCCTCACCATCTCAGCATGGCCCCTGCAGGCATCTGCTCTGCCCTCTGCCCCACTGTTGTGGTAATTGTGACCTGGTGCCCACATCGTCCCGTACTCCAGTAGCACTGCTCCAGGTTCATTTATGTGGCTGCACTGGCTGAGCCTGTTGCAAAGTACTGAAGCAGGATGTGAGGCTCTGTTGGAGGGCAGCAGGCTCCCCAGAGAGGGGCTTTGAGAGAATCCTGCCAGCAGGAGATTGAGCACAAAGCACCCTCCCTCACAGCACTGTGAGGTCCCGGCCAGCTGGCACCACAGCTCCGGAAAACCTGGCTCAGGTCCCTGCTCCGTCCCCCAGGGATCGCTGAGAACTTGCTCCTTCCCACAACAGGATGCTCAGCTGGTGCCAGTACTTTCCAAAAAGATCCTTAGGGTTCAGGGGTGGGAGTGTTGGGAGAGAGCACATGCACCATGGAGACCAAGCTGGTGAGGGGGTGGGCCATGGCATTAGTCCTTGCTAGTAAAGCCTATTAGGGCACAAGGCAGAGGCATGCTGGGCCCTGAGGTAGACCTTGGGTCAGTGAAGTAAGGTTACTGGATCATTTGGGGGCAATATGCTGTGCCATTAGGGGTGGGGTGTTAAGGGGCTTGTGGCTCAGGAGTAGGGCTCATGCTGTGTCCCAGGGCTGCTGGTGATGCAAATGAAATGGGGGGGAAGGGCCTCGCAGTTCCTCTGCTATGGCAATGCTGGTCCCAGTGCAGACCTTTCCTCTGGCATGGGCACAAGACGCCAGCATGTTGTGCAGCCAAAGCAGTAAGGACCTGGTCTGTTCCACAGACTCGCTGGTCATGTTCTCCACACCTCTGCTAGTGCTGGTCCTTGGCCTGTGCTGGGAGCCGTAGAGCCCAGCTCCCAGCCGCTCATCTCTCCCCTGCCTTGGTAGGTACGTCAAGTTTAACGAGCAGTATGTGCCCCATGATCCCATCATGTCTGGCTGCCTACCCAGCAACCCCTGGATCACAGATGACACTACCTACTGGGCAATGAACGCCCCCACGTAAGCACCCTGTGGCCTGAGCACCTGGCATGTCCCTTCATCCTGCCCCTGGCCCTGCTGTAGCCACTGGTGGTAGCAGTCCAGCAGTCTGCTTGCACAGGTCGACATTCTCCCACCTGTCTGGCTCTGATGTGAAAAGCTCCAGCCCCAGGTTGGCTGCCTGTTCCATGTTCCTACCTGCTGTGGAAGCGCAGCCAATCATGGCTGCTGCAGAAGGCAGGCAGACTCTCCCCCAGGAGCCAGAGGAACATGGGGGGGTCCCTTCAGTGCAGGGCAGACAGGAGCTCAGGGGCATGGGTTACTCTTGTGGCCCCTGTCCTGCTAGCAGAAGGATGTCAGCACTGCTTTCCCAGCCCCCAGGAAGTCACGTCCCTGAGGTGGTAGCTAGGAGTGTGGCTGTCCTAGCAGGGCTCTGTTAAGCACCAGCCTAAGGGGCTGAGCTGCCTCTGGGCTTTTGCCCCTGCTTGCTTCCATGTGGGAACTGATCTCTGGGGCCCTGCAGGCCCCTGGCTCCCTGGACTGATGGGAACTGCTCAGGGTGCCACAGCTGGTGACTGCAACTCTCAATGCCCTTGCTGCAGAGTGATGACTCCAACCAAGCTGCGTGTGGAGCGCTGGGGCTTCAGCTTCAGTGAGCTGCTAAGTGATGCACTGGGCAGGGCACAGTTCATGGAGTTCCTCAAGAAGGAGTTCAGCGGTGAGTGAGCAGCATGTCACACTCCACCCCCAGCACTGCCACAGTCTCAGGTTGGAAGGCACTGGTCCCCCCCCTCCCTACCTCAGCCTGTGCCAGCTCCTGCAGCCTGTGCTGCATGGGGAGGTCCTGCCTGGCTGCTGGGCAGGGGCACAGCCCTGCACAGCAGATCTGTTGACTTATAGGGGTGGCAAATAGCAGGGGACAGGGGCACAGCCTGGCACAGCAGATCTGTTGGCTTATAGGGGTGGCAAATATTCCCCTGCTATGGGACACCCTGTGCAGAAAGTGCTTGGGTGAAGCACACTGGCCGGCACAGGATAGGTAGGGCCCTGTCCCAGAAGGCATCACCAACATCATGTGGGCAGGACCCTGCCCTCCTGCTGGCCTGACAAGGGAGCAGGTCTGGCCCTACACAGTCGGCCAAGTGATGTCCCAGGTGGGGCGCTCCTGCTCTGCCCTGTGTTTTCCACCTGCCTGGAGAAAGGCCCCTTCCATGCAGCTTGAAGCACTTGTTCACGGTTCCTTGGAAGGAACCCTTCCTGGGTTGTGCTCTCACTCACCCACGGTTTGTGGACACCTGTGCCCTGGCCAGTGCACTGTGGACCAACCAGGCCTGTGAGCCTGGTTGCTGACCAGGCAGGAGCATGCTCCCTGCCCCTTCCTCCCAGTGCTCTGCCTTGCCCAACATCTCTCTGTCTCTTCCCACCAGCTGAGAACCTGAGCTTCTGGGAGGCATGTGAGGAGCTGCGATATGGGGAGCAGTCCCGCATTGCTGAGATCATGGACTCCATCTACCAGTGAGCCTCCCATCCCTCCCTGGCCTAGCTTCCATGTGTATTCTGTTAGTGACAGGTGGGGTGCTACCCCATGCCCCTTCTGATAGGCTCAGGAGAGCCTCTTCCTGCACAAAGTTAGCATCTCCCAGCACAGCAAAGAGCTGCCTTCCACAGTAGCAACCAACCCACTCCACAGGCACATCCCCATGCCTGTGGTGACTGGGCCACCCTGTGTGGCTGCCTGCCCTATGTTCCTGCATCCTGGAGAAATGCAGCCAATTGGGGGTTACTGCAGGTGGCAGGCAGACTCCACCCCAGGAACTAGAGAAACTAGGGTGTCCTTGGCATAGGACAAACAGGGACCTCAGGGGCTCAGATGACTCTGTGGCACCTGTACACAGAGGGTGGACAGCTCACTGGTAGCTGACAAGAGGAAATCCCTTTGGGATAAGGTCTTTCCTGGGAAGACCTGTTGCAGCAGGAGTGGAGGGCACAGTCCTATCTCCCATTTGCTCCTGCCACGAATCTCAGGGTCCCAGCAGATTCAGAGGCCACATTCCACCCTGAGGCAACGTTGTTTCCTGGTGACCCCTGTCTAATGGGGCCTGTGAAGGCACAGCCCCTCCGTATGGCAAAGGCATGGACCTGAGCACAGCAGGGGCAGGTTGGCTCCTCAAGGCTGGACCAGAGGGCTGGTAGGTTTTGGTGGGGATCCTAAATGTGCAGGGGGCATCCTGGTTGTGGTGGCCTACAGCAGCACTTTGGTTTATGTTTTGCGTAGGCTGGAGCTCCCTCTTGCTCACTGCCTGTCCCATTGGTCTCCGGACAGTCATGTAGGTGGGGGGAAGGTAATGCTGGCACCTCCCCTTGGGGCCAGCACCCTGGGACTTGCAACAGAAGCCTCTCACTATCTCACTTGCTATATTCTTGCTGGGAGAAGTCATGCCAGGAGTGGGGTCACTGGAGCCAAGGCAAAGGCAAGGGCCTCCTAGGGGGCCAGGCTGTTCCAGCCTATCAGTCCTTCTCTGTCTGTGCTGTGGCCCTGCTCTGCAGGCACTTCTTGGCCCCTGGTGCCACCCGGTGGGTGAACATTGACAGCAAGACCATGGAAAGGACCCTGGAAGGCCTCAAGACGCCTCATCGCTATGTGATGGATGATGCCCAGATGCACATCTACATGCTGATGAAAAAGGTGAGGGTGTGGCAGGATGCTCACTGGGGCATGACCCCTCCCTCACAGCTGCCTGGCCTAAACATGGGTATATGCGCTAGTGCTGAGGTGCAGCAGTCTGCATTACTCCTCATGCCTGGCTGGATGAGCCCTTGTCAATGCTGATTACTGCCAACACAGACAGGAGAGTTGCATCCTGTGTAGAGTGGGCTGAGTGGCTTTCCCCTCCAGCCCGTGAAACACTGACCTCTCCCCCCTGAGGAGTCCTCACTGCCAGCTGGTTGCCACAAATAAAGGCAGCACTTGTGGGTTGGGCTGGTTGCTTGTGAGGGGCAGCTCTGTGGTGCTCCCAGGCCCTTCAGCAGGTAGCTCAGTCAGGCAGACTGGGCTTGCCTAGTAGAGGGGGTCTGTGGCTAGGGGAAGGGCAGGCTGCACATGCTGGGCCCAGCCTCCAGTGGCAGGACCCCAGGTGTGATGCATCCCCACAGATCACCATCTGTGACACATGGGAAGGGTCAGCTTGGGGCAGGGTAGCTTCCCCACAGCCTCCTGCTTTTGGCCTGTGCTCAGGCCTATGTGTGTGCAGGCTACACCATCCCCTCATGGTTGTTTGCTCCCAGGACTCCTACCCACGCTTCCTCAAGTCTGACCTCTACAAGAGCCTGCTGGCTGAGGCCATCATTCCTCCTGAGACCAAGAAGCGGTGAGCAGAGGTCCCTGTCCTATGCGTGTTGGGTGTATCCTACAATGGCTTGTTTCTAGTTGCAAGTGGCTGTGGAGAGCACTGGGGAATCAGGGCTAAAGCATATCAGCACCCTGCACAGTGCCCTCAGCCCTGCTCTGTGCTCCCCTGATCCCACCCGCACCACATACTTGACCCCACACTGACTGTTCTCTTGATCTCCTGCCAGGGTGTTCCCATTCATGCGGAAGCAGCGACACTCAAGCCCTAGCCCAGCCCTGCTGCTGCTGCCTGGGGGTGAGCCAGAAACCAAGGCAGAGGACAAGAGCAGGACCTCTGTGGCTGCTCCTGTTCCTGAGGAGGAGAGCTAGGGCCCCTTGCCTCGTGGTCCTCACTCGGTCCCTCCACCACCTACCCCACTCGTTCCCAGGCTGAGCACTGGCCTGCGGCTGAGAGAAAGAATGAGGTGCCTTGCACGTGCCAGACTGCACAATGTCCATCCTGTTTTTTCTGATGCAGCACCTAGAGCTTGGAAGCTGTGAGGCAGGTGGCTACTCTTGTCACCCAGCCCCTCCCTCCCTCTAGGATGAGCAGCATAGGTTTGCAGAGGTCTCACACACTCCAGGCTCCTGGCCCATGATGGGAAATGTGGTAATTTCCTGCCTCTGCCCTGCCTGTGGCATGACCTGGTACTGTGTGTGCAGGGGGTTACTGCTGACCATCAGTAGGTGCCTGGGGTGTTCGGACTGGTGGGCCTTGCTGAAGCCAGTGTTGTTACTGGTGCCCCTGTACTGGAGGAGCCATAACTTATCAGGGGCCAGGGCACTGGATCCCGAGTGTTCGCATAAATGTTGCCTAGGACAGATGCTACCAGTTACATTCCCACCACGTCCTGGCACCCCTGTGCCCGGGCAGCAGGTAAGATAGCTCTCAGATCCCAGTACAAACCATCTCAGCCTCAACCCCCCAGTCATCCTGCCTGTGCTCCTGCCCCAGCATCATTTTCCCCCCATCCCAGGCAGTAGCCTGGCCTCTACTGTAGGACTTGCTCTTCCATGACACTAAAGGAAAGAAGCCATATGCCCCAAGGTCTTTGTGCATGGTTCTGCTTAGCCTGTGCTCTGTGCCCCAGGCTACACCCTACTCTCTCTGCCTTGGTTCTGGCCTCTTAATCCTCCAGTTGCCCCTGGGCCACTGCCCTAGGCAGCTCATGGTGCACAGCTGCAGATTTGGGAACTGGCCTTCACAGCCCATTTTGCTTCTCAGAGACTGGGTGAGCCCCCTGCAGGGAGTCAAGCTCAGGTTTCCATTGGAGGAAGGGGCAGGTTCCCCCCTCTTGACAGATTAACCATCCCCTGGGCCATGCTGGTCTACTCCAAGAGCAGCCCTTGCTAACTACTGCCCAGCCCCTGCTCCCCTTGCAGAGGTCCAGTCTGGGCACTTGTAGGCATGACCAGTCCTGCAGGCAAGTTGGGCAGGGGGCTGGCACTGCATAGGGAGCCCCCTCTTCCCTCCACCCTGCTCACTGTTACACTAAGCATATGGAATCAATAAAGGACCTTGTGGGAAACTGTGTGGGCTCTTCTGGTGGCAAAGGCTGGTCTGAGCACAGTGACAGGTTCAAGAGAAAAGGGGATGTGGCTCATTTGCAGGCGCTTTGCTCCACATAAGCGGTGTTATGGTTTCCCAAGTAACTGCTGTTCCTCCCTCCTGCATGTCCTCCTCAGCCCATTTTGATTTGAGATCACCTGCTATTGCTTTTCTTGGGGCAGAACACTTTGCTCTGTTCTTACAGGCCAGGCCCATAGGCTGCAGCTTCTGCAGTTGTTGGGGCCGCCTCAGCAGGGGAGATGGCTCTGCGCTCCTGTGGCATGGGTGGAGCTCTGTAGTGAGCTGCAAGCTCTTGGGATGCACAGTAGGGCTGTATGAAATTTCACTGGCCATTTCATTTCAACACTGTTTCAACTCATTTCGAGGTCAAAACAGCAAAATTGAAATGAAACAAAGGGTTGCAAAACAGCCTCGAAACAAAATGAGGCTAGTTGAAACATTTCGAAAGTCAAAATGTTTCAACCATAGCACTGGGGAAATGAACTCAGCCCCATTGGGCTGACTTCCCATCCCCGGTGCTAGATTGCCCTGGGGTCGGGGAGTCAGCCTGGTTGGGCAATCCAGCGCCGGGAGATGGGGAGGCAGACCAGCTGGGGCTGACTTCCCATCCCCAGCCTTTCTGTTTTGAGGGAACAGAACAGCTGTTTTGAATCAAAATGAAATTTGAAACAGAACAGTATTCCGTTGAACCATCAAAACTCAAGGCGAAACGGAACGGTGCCATTTCACACAGCCCTAATGCACAGCACCGGGTACTGAAATCAAAGGGAGTTCAGGGACAGCCAGATTTAAAATGGTAAATGCTTCGGACCATAATCAGATCAGGTATAGCACCTTAGTCTGGGGAGCAGGGCCAAACTTCTCATGCCTGTTAACAAACTGACAACTACAAGGGAGAGCTGCCCCTCTTTGAGGTTTGAGACATTCTCTAGTGTTGGCCTAGGGCAGGGGTAGAGCAGTGACCAGCCAGCTTCCAGACTCTTCCCACCCTGCATCTCATGCTGGCTGCCCAGGAGCAAGAGCTGCTGGCCAAACCCCACAGGCCTGAGCTGGTAGTGGGCAGTATCTTGCCGTGCAGGTCCTGCAGCACAGCCAGACAGCAACACTGGGTTGGAAGGCTTTAGACTAGGAAAGGGCAAGCTGACTTCCATTGCACCTGAGCACCTCCTCCTCAGCCATGCCTGGAACCAGCAGCCAGCCACACCACCTCATCCCACCAGGGCCCTGGAGCTGGAAGGAGGCACTTAGAAACAAAGCTCCTCAGTCCTACCCCTGCACCTGTACCCTCCTGTTGCCTGGCTGCAGTCCCACTGGTAACCCCGTGCTGGAGGAAGCAGCCCCAGGCAGCTGAGGGACTTGCTCAGCCTGGCAGTTAAGGGGAAGAGGGACCAGGCAGTGCCAGGGCAGTGTGTTCAGGCCCTGCTGGGGCACCTATGGGTGAGGGTCTCTCCTCAGCCTGACCAGCTGGGCTAAAATACCACAGCTGCACTGTCCAAGCCAGGAGCTGACCCAGAAACTGCAACTTGTGTATTGCTGCCTGCAAGAGTAGCTGGCAACAAGCCACTGTGAGCACTGCGGCAATGCAGGGCAGCAGCCTGGCTACTCCTGGGAGCAGCAGGGCACCCTGTAATCTCTGATCAAGTTAATGGCTGGGGAGGGTGCCAGCAAAGCACTTTAGCATCTGCATCTGCTCCAGTACAGCTTTGGAGTATTACTAGAACATCTGTGATGACACAGGAGGCTGTGTGGAGGTGTGGCCTGCTGGCCAGGGGAGGGGAAGAGTGGGAGCAGGGGTTGGGGAAGGTATGTGGGACGGGCACAGAGCACTTGCAGAAACCTGAGCAGACCTGAAGGCTCCAAAAAGTTCCTAAGAGTGAAGCCAGCACGAATCTCCCCATAGCTGCATCACCCTACCCCAGGGGCACAGGACAATTTGTGCTCCATGGACAAACCAGCTAGGTCTTATTTCTTCTCCCTCAGAGCACAGCCCTTCACCTTCCACTCTGTGGGCCCTGCACTGGGTTCCTTCCCACCTGCTGCCTAGGCCTAGCAGGAGCAGCATTCAGCAGACAAATCACTGGGAAGCATATGCCCCACATACCTCTGCTGTAATGTATATGGTCACAGGGCATGAATGCCTTTGGTGCTGGCCTCCTGGGTCTTTCCTGGGGACTAAGCTGAATTTATCCTAAGCCAGCAACACCACAAGCATGGCCTACTTTGGCTGGGCTTGGTGGGGGGGTTGGGGAGGCAGGCCCTGCCTCTGGCATGGCAGGAGCAGCCCCAGCTCTTTCCCCAGAGCCTCCCACTGCTGGCCCTGCCATGCTTCTGCACTGCTCACTCCATGCCTGAGGGGCTTGGCCTAAGCTTGTCCCAGCAGTGGCACAAGGAGGCCATTTGCTACCCCCATCCTGCCTTGCAGAATGCTTTTCCCCCATGGGAGGCAAAGCAGTACCCACTCCCCTGCCCACTGGGGCGGTTCAGAGTGGGTGTGTCTACATGTGTGCATAACTGCACAGTAACCACTGCGCAGTCCCAGGGATGCATGGATTGTTTGCAACCCTGCTGCACAGTAGCATCGACATTATGGTTCATGCCCACCAACACTACATCGCTGTAGTGATCAGCTATGTCACCATAGCTCATGGCTATGGTAATATGGCATCCCATGTAGATGCGCCCACTGTGGCCTGCAGTGTTCACACAGCCGGAACATCATCACCTACACTGCCATGACACTCAGGAAGAGCTGCGCTGTTCCTGCTCCAGCACCCCATGACCAAGCTGAGCCCACCTCAAAGGCAGCAGCTGAGCTAGATGGAGCCCCTTGGGAATGTGCTCAGGCAGTGCTGCCACTGGGAGCTTGTGTGCACAGCCTGTGAGGTACCAGCACACACCTAGCACCCATAGACTGGGTGCCCCAGCAGCTCAGAACCAGGCACTGCTCCCAAATAGCCCTCTGCAGCCAAGGGCATGAGCATCTGCCTTGCTCCCTGACCCACCCCCTCCCCAAAGCCTTCATCAGCCGTGGGCTAGTACCCTTGTCCAGCATGCCTTGCTTCTGGGCCAGGGTCACAAGCCACCTGCCCTCCTTCATGCACTGCCTGGGGTGAAGAGGAAGCTGGCAGTTGCAATGGCTCCACAAGGCACTGGAAAAGCACCCCCGAGAGAGCTGCACAACTGGGAAGGGGTAGTGTCCCTCAGCACTAGGTCTGGGGCTGACAGAGCAGCAACCAGAGGAGAGGGACTCCTTGGGGAGCATGGTCAGTGTCCCCTGTGCCCACCCAGCCTCAGGCCTTGGGACAGCACGGGGCTTTGGGGGTGGCCCCTTGATGGTGTGTAAGTAGGGTGCTTGGAGGCTTCCCCTGGGGTAGCTGGGCAGCATGCCCCTCCATAGGCCACTCAGCTAGAACTCTCACACTCCTCAGCAGGCTTTGCAGAGCCCCCTGTTCAACAAGGGGAGCAGGCAGGGGAGCTGCTGCACCATGTGATTGCAGCCCCGATTATACTGCCCCCAAGGAGCCCCTGTGGCTGCAACCTGCCTGCTATGTGCTGTTGCAAAGTTGTGCAGAGGCCTTCCTCCTTTCCCAGGCTCTGACATGCCATGGGACTACATCAGAGGTCCCAGTCTGCACTTGATTCCCACTGCATTCATGGGTATGGGAGCCCTGCAGCCAAGTGCTGGGGATTCCTTGTGCTGCCTGCCCAAAGGCAGCCACAGAATGGTGCTACCTCCTGGCACACAGACCTGAATGGCTGAATTCTGTTAGTGGCCCTGGGCTGGCCCAGCCAGCTCAGCAGGGCTGGGAGTGGCATGCAGAGGGCATCCCAAGAAAGCAGCTTTGTGCTGTAAAGCCACTGTAGGGCACACTGGCTCTGCACTTGTCCCTTTAATCGGAGCAGATGTTGAGGCTTTCCATGCTCATTCCCCAGCCCCAGCCAGGGTCCAGCAGCTGTGGGATTAGCGTGCACATTACATAAAATGCCAGCAGGGGCTCATGTTGGGCTGATCCCTATTAGCACTAGGCATTAACTTTCCATGGTGCACAGTGCTAAAGTGCAGCTGGAAGCAGAATTACATGACCCAGTTCCAGCCTGTGGGGTGGGGAGCACTAGAGGCCTCCAGGGACCACTTTGTTTGCCCAAAACTGTGGCCAGTACTGCCTTTCCTTTGGCTACACATAGCCCGAGCAAATGGAGCAGCCCA